AGCCAATAAAAAACAAAGCGATAACATCCAGGAACGGCTGGAAATCGGTGCCGGTTGGGACAGAAGGGCCCGTCGGGCCCGAGCGGGGAACCGCATTCAAATTTGACCTTTGGCGTTCCCCGTTCCGTTTGGGAAACCGGGAGGAGACGAGAGCCGGGAGAGGAAAGAAAGGAGAGGAAAGATGAGGAACGAGGAGCCGAAGGAGCCGGGGCAGGAACAGCGTGGAGCAAGTAACGCGAGCTCGGTAATTAAAACAAGATGGAACACCTCGGTCAACGCAATAAATCTCACCATTTCCCATTCTCCCTTCCTGCTCATCTCTCCCGCTCCCCTGTCACGACCCCTCCCCCGATATATCTTCGGCTTTCCCCTTATCCGACGATCGGAACTGGCCCCTTCACGACGGCCGACGATTTATTTTATTATTTGGTAGATTTAGCGGCGGCTACCGTTTATTGGAATCCGCGTCGATCGGAGATTATGAGGCAACGCGTCGCGACGCGACGTTCAGATGCAACGTACAGATGCAACGCGAACGCAACGACACGGCCCGCCGCGGCGCGTTACGAAACGGATAATTATCGGCGACGGAATGAATTACCGGCGTCCCGCGAAAACCCCATGGCGTTCCGCGGGTCCCCGCGTTCGCGACTGCATAAGTGGATTTTGTTGTTTCGCTTTATCGACGCATACCGGGCAACTGGAGCGACGGATCGAGATCGCAAACTGCAATCGGCCCGATACCGAGCACGGCGGTCGATCCCGTGGGAACCAGTCATTCCAATTCCATCGTGGCCTCCTGTATAATCCGATTAACACGTTAACAGTTTCACCGATGCCGCGGCGGTCTCAGAAATTTCTCGATGTTATGCTATTTTAGTGCTTCGAATTCGAATCGAGGTCTTAACCCGTTCAGCGGCAACCGCGGGGTTATCCCGTGGCTGACGGCTACCGCGACGTTGAAGCTTCGTTACCAGACCGCGGGTCTTTGTGCTACGGTGAAATTGTCTTTGTTAATTGGAAGACGAAGAAACGAAACGCAAGCTTTTCCTTTCGTTTGTAATTTTTGTACGTTCGGATTAACGCGCGAATGTTCTCGGATTCTTTTCATCGTGGCGTCGTTTTTGAATGTGTCTATGCGTTTCGATCAGAAATGCAGGAGATTCACGGTTTATTCATTGATAATATAGAAAAGGATTTATTTATTATCTCTTCTTTTTTACTTATAATTTTTTACTTGTACTGTAAATTCTCCCCAATTTTTCTTCAGATTTTAAACAATAATGGACAATTTTGGGAAGTTCATTTTTGTAATTACCGTTTGTCAATAATTATAAAAACGAGTATTTTACGAGTAAATTGTATATTTTACAATTTTAAGTATTTTTACAAGCTGAAGGAAAATTAGGGAGAATTTACTGTATACTATTCTTCAATCACTATTATTTTCTACTTATTACTATTCTCCAGTTGGTATCATCTTTTACTTATTATTATTATTATTATTCAGTTACTATTATTTTTTACACATTATGCATTACAATTCTTAAAAAAGAAGGCATCTAGGACAATTGGCGGGCGAAAGCGACGAAAACATTAAAAGAATTTAATGGCACATTATTTCCAACTCGCTGAAATTAGCGAAGAATGACGGAAAAGCTACTCGACTTTGTCGCAACTATTGGAGATCATTTTCATTTTTCACAAAGTAAATCCGTCAATTTACGCTTCCACAAAAATTCTCACGGGATCTCGTTAAAATGTCTGGGCATCTAGCCGTTCGCGTTCGCTCCGTTCACATTCGTCGGGCCAATCCGAGTTACACGTGTTTTACACGTGATAACAACGATCGTCCGAATCCCAGGAGCACCGTCTCCCCTAGGTGACGAAGTTAATTGCTCATTTTCTCGTCTCGTTAACGTTGCCCGAGCCCGGCAGCGCTCCGTCGGAAACGGAGCGGCGCACGTGTAAAGGAAATCGTTCGCCGATCGGAACACGTGTCCCCCACAACCCCGTCCATCGCTATTTCGAATATTAGTTCTATTTGTACATCTGTTTTTCTTCGTATATCTTATGTGCTGTTAAGCGCAGCTCCTTTGAATATCCTCAGCTGCCGCGTGACAAATGAATCGGCTTCTAAAAATGGGTGTCGCGTTCATGGGTGACGTTCCACGATTCTTGTCGATGCGTGCTTTCGTAATTAGAGAGATCGCGTTAACATTGTTACAGGAACCAGAAAGCTTCGCGTGTTTATCGAAAGCTTTCCGTGAATCGACGATGATAAATAAGTTACGCTGCGGTTTTTCTGTGAAGTCAAACGTTTTGTTTATTCGTTCGAAAAAGTTTTCAAGAAGTAAGTAAAATATGTTCAGCCTGGAAGTTTATGTTTATTGTTGCGAGGTGAATGCGAATTTTATGCATTTGCGAGAAAAATGAGTGCGGTTTCAAGCATGAAAAAAATTTGATAAACTCATTAAAAACTTGTTAAATATTTGTTTAAATTATTAGACGAAGAACACGTTGCATGACTTGCAATTGGGGCGGATGATTCTTATTTTGCATGAACGTTCACAGTCTAGTTATAAATAAACTCTAAGGGATAAAAAAATAAGAGATAAAAAAATAAGGGATAAAATAATAAGAGATAAAAATAAGAGATAAAATAATAAGAGATAAAAATAAGGGATACAAATAAGGGATAAAACAATAAGAGATAAAAATATGGGATAAAAATAAGGGATAAACTCTACGTGATAAAAACACCAGCTATTGCCATATTAAGACAATCTTATTCTGTTTTCTAAATTATATATACCGTATAATTAACATATGTACTATAACAATGAGAAAAATACCTACTCGATAAGCCGCTTTGATAACCGAAACAATTATTTCGCATTAAATCGAACGTATCTGATTGAATACAAAATGACCGAGCATAGTACACGAATTACTGCCAGCTGAACCGCTAATCCAATTAAAATTATCCAATCGATAAATTTTTATCGATCATGTTGTTTAATTGCAGTTCAATCCTAGCAACAGCTGATTTACGATTCCACTGAACGAAATGAACAGGACACCTACCGGTTCCCGGCAGCCGCGTTAATTAGAACGTTATTTCTGAAAAATGTAGTTTCCAAGTCGAAGAAAATTACCGAACGGCTGAAACATACTCCGAACGGATCCAGGGGGGGAGGAGGGGAGGGGTTCGAACGAAAACGAAAGTTCCGCGTAGAATTCCAGAAGATTAAATTCCCCGTTACTTCATCTTATTACGTGCTCGATTAACTTTCCGGCGCGAGTGGAGCCACTGAATTCGCCGGTGTGTAATTAACCAGCAACGGTGGCGTAACGAACCGCGAGAGCATAAAATTCTGTTTTCCCGGTCGGACGTCCTCGAGGCTCCGTTTCGTAGTTAACCCCGCGCCTAATCTCGGCATTAGCTGCATAAACGGCGTGTGCACGCGGCCCACGCTGATAAAATAGTGTCCGTTCCTTGTGTCACCGAGACGGAAATCTGTGCGAGGAACAAGTCGAAAGCACAGTTTCGTTGCAACAATAATTAAGTCGTAGTGTTCGCTAGCTTGAAAATGAAACAATTTCTGAAAGCCGAGAATTTACTTAACTCTGGCGAGATCGAGATTTTGAGTCATACAAAATCGGTTGCAAATAGGGGAAATTCGATTTCGCATTAGGCGATATTATTTTGTATTTAGTGAAATTGGCAATTGGGAAGAATTTTATTTTTATTTAATTTAATTTATTTTTATTTAATGTTCTATCAATGTTTTAATTTATTTCACTGCAATCACAAAGGAGAATCAAATGCAGCGAGAGTTTCTTTAGCGCTGGATCCACCGGAACGGTCAAAATGATGCAATCCTTGATTTCACGAGAACAGCAGAAAATTATAATAATATATAATTATTCAATTCACTTGGTATTGTAATATCAACGGAGCCCCGATTACCGGGATCCCATAATTTTTACAATCTGTGTCACAAGTTCCATGCCTAGTAATTCGGTGGTTCCAGCGTTTTCACATGAAACCGTAAGACGAGCAATTGAAAATCGCAACAAAAATAAAGCATGAGATCGCAATTACGTACCGAAAATGGTGTCCCATCGCCGCATACTGAAGTCCTCTTGACGGTGCTCTCAGACATCGTCAAACATTCGAATGGAACAGCGAATAGGAACAACGTATTCAGAACGAAGAAAGAAGCAACAAATTAACGTAGAAGTTTCGTCGCGTGAAAGCTGAAGCGTGAAAATCAGGTGAAAAGAAAACAAGAAAAACGAGGAAAGAACGCAACGGGTGTGTATAATATTAATGCATCATTTATTTAAACACCTACGATGACGATAACATGAGATGGATACGATGCGCTTAATTGTAGAGTAATCCGCTAGCCGAAGCGACGAGGTCGCGCGTGCACGTGTGTATCGTATCATTTGTCTGTTATGGTAAACGGGTTGAGTCCTATGGGAGGGAAGGTAAGTAAAGAATCATGCTGACACGTCGTCGGGTGATAACTATTTTAATTTGCTGACTGGGAGAGGTTTCCAGAATTTCTGCAGCGCCTGGTGTTATGATACAATAATAATAATAATAAGTATTATGTATATGTATATGTATATATATATATATATGTATTTATAATATATATATATACAATATATATATGGCAAGATCATTGGTCAATAAATATTTTCCTTAAGTCTGCAGCTAAATTCACCAAATAATTAATCCCTTGATCTTCCTGCGTCGATTCCGATCCTGCTTTCAATAAGTTAACTATCGTGATACGTTTAATTAATTAATGGTCTTTATCAAAGAAAATACACTCTATACAATCGATAATATTACTCGAGGAACATGGACCACCCTCTCTCGCTCTCTCTCTCTCTCGCTCTTTCGCTCTCTATTTCTCTCTTCTATTTTTCTCTTTCTCTCTTTCTCTCTTTCTCTCCCTCTCTCTCTCTCCCTATTTCTCTTTTTCTCTATTTCTCTCTTTACTTCTCTCTCCGTCTCCCTATTTTGCTGTCTTTTTTCCTTTCACAGACTCTCTCTGTTCTCTAAACGGATGTACCCCTATCGCGCGGCATGAAAATCATCCGATCCAAGTGACAACGCGACGATCGATCGATCGACCGATGGGGGATCGGCCGAGCGTCCCTCTAATTATTTGGAAAATTTAGACACGCCTTCAGTGGCTTAATCCCCTACACTCTATACGAACTAGAGGCTCTTTCGTTTCGATTGCCGGTCGGACATCAGTCACTATGAAGGTAATAGTGCGCGCAAAGTATACCTCTAATACTATCTGAGTTGTACGCTAATAGTAGATCCTTACAGTAATTAGGTAACACTATGTACACTTGCTCGACACGGCGGTAACGGGTTCGCGCGACGCGGCGACAACACGTTCCTCCGGCCACATATAACAAAAGTCCCACCGTCGATCCCGTAGCGATCCCGTACGCCGGGAAACGAAAAGAAAAACGAATTCCCCCCCGGGAAGAAAAAAAACGAATCAGATCACCCTAGCACGCTAATATCACTTTGCGTCGTCGTAAGTAAATATAAGTACTGCTTGTCTCTCTCTCTCTCTCTCTCTCTCTCTCTCTCTCTTTCCCGGTGTACGCTCCAGTAATCCGCGGCCCTCGCCATTTTGTCGCTGCGTTCCTCCTCGGTGTACCACGGACCCTCCTCGTTCCAGAACAACTGACCCCGATCGTGTCGCGTTCACAGCTTCGCAGCGAGGAGCAACGACTGCTGATGCTGTTGCTGTTGCTGCTGCTGATGATGCTGCTGGCTTCGCAGTTCCATCCTCGTGCTCATCGCGAAACTAGTCCGGNTTATTTGGAAAATTTAGACACGCCTTCAGTGGCTTAATCCCCTACACTCTATACGAACTAGAGGCTCTTTCGTTTCGATTGCCGGTCGGACATCAGTCACTATGAAGGTAATAGTGCGCGCAAAGTATACCTCTAATACTATCTGAGTTGTACGCTAATAGTAGATCCTTACAGTAATTAGGTAACACTATGTACACTTGCTCGACACGGCGGTAACGGGTTCGCGCGACGCGGCGACAACACGTTCCTCCGGCCACATATAACAAAAGTCCCACCGTCGATCCCGTAGCGATCCCGTACGCCGGGAAACGAAAAGAAAAACGAATTCCCCCCCGGGAAGAAAAAAAACGAATCAGATCACCCTAGCACGCTAATATCACTTTGCGTCGTCGTAAGTAAATATAAGTACTGCTTGTCTCTCTCTCTCTCTCTCTCTCTCTCTCTCTCTCTCTCTCTCTCTCTCTCTCTCTCTCTCTCTCTTTCCCGGTGTACGCTCCAGTAATCCGCGGCCCTCGCCATTTTGTCGCTGCGTTCCTCCTCGGTGTACCACGGACCCTCCTCGTTCCAGAACAACTGACCCCGATCGTGTCGCGTTCACAGCTTCGCAGCGAGGAGCAACGACTGCTGATGCTGTTGCTGTTGCTGCTGCTGATGATGCTGCTGGCTTCGCAGTTCCATCCTCGTGCTCATCGCGAAACTAGTCCGGCCCATGAGACTCCGAAACTCGCTTCTAGAACCAGTACAGATCTTTCGAATCCTGGACTTGGGACTCGAGACCTGGAACGACAAGAATTCACGGTGCTTTTCACTCTGTAACTTTGCGACAGTCGCGGTGCACCGCGATGCAATTTTCGGCATGCTTGTGTATAGGTCGCCGAAATTTATGAAACGCGTTTTTTCGCATTTTTCTCGCGAGTTTGGGAAAACGTTCTGACGAAATTCTAAATAGGCGAACAGGAAAGTCGTTTTTAGAATGCGTTTAGGTGTAGAATTAACAATTAATTGCTATACGTACGCGCTGTATTTTGAGACCCATTATTTAGGTGACTGTGGTTCCCCATATTGATAATATAATAATAAATTAATAATATATATTAATATAATAATATGTGTAATATAACATATATATCAATATAATAATATATATAATATGTATATATATAATATATATAATATGTATGTATATATATATATATATATATATATATATATACGATATATATAACTATATTCTAAATTAATAATATAATAATCGTTATCTGTAGACTGTAAATCTTACGCATTTTTAACAAGAACGAATAAGTGCGATTTCAAACAGTAGAAAAATGTAAACAACTGAAGAATACCAACACATCATTTTCAACGTCTTAAAACTATTAAAAAAAGAATTCCTGTTGCCTGCAACAGATTCAGAAATTTGGTCTAATCGCTCCAAAAGCAATTACTAGATCGCGCCTTTTATGCATTCATGACAAGAACGATTAGGTCGAACGCAAAGATTATAAAGGAATTATAAGAATTCAAGGACAATGCCACATTGTTCTCAACTTATTACAATTATTACAAGAGGAAATAAAATCCGCAATCTAGCGATCACCCTTCAAATCAGGGATGTCCAAAGCGTCGTAATTATTCCTAGTCGCCTGTCCGACGTTATCTATGTTCATTTTTTTAAACTCTTATTTTAGCCTTCAAATTGCGCCTATAATTTAATACTAGATTTACGGAACCCGTCAAAATGACGCATCACTATCTTCTTAATTTACGATTATTCATATCGTAAAGATACATTTACGAGTTATTTATTCAACTTATATGTTACTTACGGCAAACGTTACAATAACACTTGTTAAAAATCAGAATAAACGTCTTATCCTTACTTTCATAAGCTAACATAAAACATCTGTTTCTTGCGCTCCGTAAATCTAGCGCGTTCAAAAAGAAAACAAATCACCCGTGGTGACCAAAAGTTCGTCCATCCTCCTGCTTCAGGCAAACCCTTCACGTTTGCCGAACGTTAATCCTTTGCACTCGAAGCCATTTTAGCTGTTAATCCAAACCAATCTTTCCGACTTATAGTATTTCCATTTTGTACGACAAAGTGCATTCTATGCGTATGAAATCGAGTCTCGCGGTGACTCGTAACAACAGTTACACTTTTAACAATTTTTCAAATCTAAACTTTGTCGATATAAAAATCATCTTGGAACGTGACACAACAATTTTAGCGGTGCTCCAGAGTCGCCGCTCGAGTGCAAAGGGTTAAAAGCGCGCGCGACTCGCCGGCATCGCGGTCCCGGCTGAGAAAATGACCGAGAAGTAACCGCCGCGGGCCTGTTACACTCTCGATTTACACGGGCCATCAACTGCTCCCAAATTCAATAGTGACGAGCATCCACGCGCATGCCGTTAAGCAATCATCGATTGGACCCGGCCGATTTCACTCGGACAACCGCGTTCTCGGCGTGGACGCGCGAGGGACTTTCTCGTGTACGACAAGTAATTGGTTATACGGAAAGGTAGGAGTGACTTTTTCTTCCGTGCGACCCGGCTCATCGTTCATCGAAATTTATAACGCGGCCGGCCGCGTAATAAAAGAAGAGTCAACGTTTTGACGGATGCGAGGGTGCAGAACTGGTGATGGCACCCGCTGAGCGACACGGACGTACAAACCGACGGGCCCGGGGCCACGGGAACGAACGAACGGACGAACAAACGGACGGACGGACCGACGGACAGACCGGACGGACAGACGAACGGACGGGGGACAAACGGAATATGTCACGGGATCGACCAGTTAAGATCTCATGTTCCTTACAACGCAACGGTTGGACGCCTGTGTCCGGGCCTATCTTTGATCTTGATATCTCCGAAGGGTGACCGTGCGGATCATCCAGGTCCTTCAGCTACGCTCCGACGATACGAGATCCCGGAGGGAAATCGGCCGTAATTAAGGAGAAGTTTATGGGAAACCGGCGGATCTTGAGCAAACAGTTGTACTTACAAGTGGCGATCGGATCGAGTGTCAGAGCGTCGTCCCTTCGGGCGGATCTTGTCTTTTAACAATTCGATTGTCGTCGACGCGAGCGTTCGTTTGATCGTTGCGTCGAAAGAACAGGAACAGGCGATTCAACGTTTCTAATTAGCATCGATCCCCTTGGTCGGACGCGTCGAAGATTTTCGAAGCGAAACGACGACGCGCTTCGTTAACGTCTGAGTGTTTCATCAGCTCGCCGTGTTTCAGGCGACGATTTTTGTTTAGCGGTAACCTGTCAGGCGTGCGGACGTTGTTCCATTCTTTCGAGTCGGAACGTAATTCTGTTCTCTTTGACGTCAACGCTGAAGTATTCGATTTGTAAAAGTGCACGCTGGTGAAAACGAGATGCAAACGAGCGCGAGGAAAAGATCCGCGCGCTTCGATCGTCGGAGCGTATCGCCGAACGTTGGTTGTATAGTGTGTAATAACGAATATTAAGAAACGCGCCGATGTTCAAACGTCGTTGTGTTATTGTTTGTTGCACCCCGAACTGGTCGAACAGCTGTGTGATAAGCGTGTCAGCCACGTCAGCGGATGGTTTATCATCGTTCATACAGAAACTTATGTTTTCCCAAACGTGTTTAACCAGTCCCGCGTTACCTCATACGCGCGCGAACGTGTGCGTTGCCACATCAATTCGCGCGTTTGATTAATAACGTGCGAATCGGAGAAATCGCGGGTCGACGGTTATATCTCTTTTATCGCTTTCCTCGCGAATAAACCGCCGCGTTGGAGTCGATGCGATGAAATTCATTTTCGAAGGAAAGTAACGAAATCGCGGCCGATCGTTTCAGAATTCGTCCATGATTAAATTTAATTGCTGGAGTGCGGAATAATTTTTATACTATATTATTATATCATTATATCATTATATTACTATATCATTATATTATTATGTTACTATGTTATTATATTATTATATTATCATATTATTATATTATTATATTATTATATTATTATATTATTATATTATTATATTATTATATTATTATATTATTATATTATTATATTATTATATTATTATATTATTGTATTATTATATTGCTGTACTATTATATATATTATGTATCTATTTTATATTTTATTATATTTTATTATTATATTATTTTTATGCTCTTTTACAGTAAACCAAGAATCAAAATAAAATTCTATTCATTCAACCATACATCAATATCCATCGGCTTTTCTTATGAATATCACAAGTTATAACTAACTAATTCTAATAGTATCAAATACTAATTGAATAATAATAATTTAATAATAATTTAATAGCGATAAATTTCCTAGATTTTCTGA